TTTTGGCTAAAAAAGTAGTTTATTTTTAGAAACATATATTAATAAATTAAGTTGTTTTTTTAATTACTAATTAACTTCTACTTGATTAAACAATATTTGCAATTCAAGAGTTTATTTAATTAAATTAATCTCTAATATATTGAAGCCAGAGTTATTTTAATTAATTTTCTTAAAACCTTTACTGGGTTCTTTTGCTTTGAAGTAGATAAGTATTTAATAAGTTTTTTTAATATTTAAATTTTTTATTTTGATGTTTATTGTATAGTCTTTTCATTAATTTATATATATTTTAGCTTTGATATCTAATTACAGTCTTTTTATTTCTTCTTATATATTTTAGCTTTAATATCTAATTATATTTTTTTTTTAGCTATTTATACAGATTTTAGCTTTGATGTTTAATTATAATCTTTTTATTTAATTACAAAGAGTTTTAAATTTGATATTAAGATATACAAAGTTTAGTCTTTTTTTTTAATCTTACAGGGTTTGTCTTTAATATTAATATACAAATTTATATTTTAATATTTAATTATAGTATTTTATATAAGTTTTAGTTTTTATATAATTTATAGTATTTCAACTTTGTATATTATAGTCAAACTACCAAATATAATAAATAGTTTTATATCACTCTCAAAAGGATATAAATTAGCTAAAAGTAGTTTATTAGATATATAAAATATCAAATATCTATTTTTATATATAAGTAGATACTATATATTTATACTATATACTAATCTACTAAATATGCTATATTTACTATATATGCTATATAGTATTTACTAAATTTGCTAAATTTGCTAAATCTATTAATTCTACTTGTGCTAAATATATATTTATCAAACAAATATATAATTAACTAAAATTTGTATATACTTCACTATGCAAGAACTATTATATCTATAGTAATAATAATAATATTTATATTTTTCTGCTAACATTTTTTGTAAAAAAAGTTGTAAGTAAAAATCAACATTATGTCTAATAAATGAGATTCGAATGTATAAATTAAACTAAATTATCTATTATGAAATATAGTATATAAAGAGGTTTGATTGTATACAAACTTAAATCTTATACATTAGTAATTGTAATCTTTGTTCTTCTATAGTAAGACAATTACAGTAAGATGTTTCTATTTATTCAATTAGTATTTAAAAAATTAACAGCTTTATTTCAAATTGTAGTACATGAAAAACTTTTATATAAAGCAAAAAGTTGAATACAAAAAAGATATTGCTAATCTCAAAGTAAAAATTTTGTTAGATGGAATTCAATAAAAAAATAATGTCTAGTAGGCTTTTATCTATCAAGAATCATTAATTATATTATATAGAGTTTAATAAGTACAAAAATATTACAATTGCATACAACTTAGTATATAAAATTAAAACTTATAGCAGTTGTTAGTAAAGTATAACACTAAAAAAAAACAACTAAAACTATACAGCTATAAAAATAATTTTTTATTATTACTGATTTAGAATTTGAAAATATAGCTTAAATATGTTAACTATATAATAATCTAATTCAAATATGAATAATAAGTCTATTTTCTAAATTAATATCAAAAAAGGTTAAAATTCATGTAAAGCTTATTAATACAAAAGACAAACATAACAAAACTGTACAGCTATAAAAATAAATTAGAATTTGCAAATACAGTTCAATTTAAATAAACAATTTCTTAGAATAGAGTTCTTTAAGCTCTTCAAAATAAAGTTTATTTTCTAAAATTTTATTTTCTAAATATTAATCAAAAAGGTTAAATATATAAAGCCAAAAGGTCAAACATCACATAACTTTCCTTATACTATAGTATATATATTTAGTATATATAGTATCTATCATATTATTGTCAATAGCTAATCAAATTGCTGAAAACAAATACACAACCAAATCTTAGTAGTATAGATTGTTTAATTTGATTAAAATATAGTAATAATCAATTTTAATTATAATAGAAATTTGTTTTTTAACTAATAGATAGATATATTGTTTTTTAATTAATAACAGATTTGATAATCTTTAATTAGTATGTGTAGAAGTTTTTAATCACAACATATTAGTTTTTAAGCTAATTTTTAATTAATATATAAGTAAAAAAAATTTAAATTATATATAACTTTAAATTTAAATTTATAAATTATAATAAGTTAAATTAATAATCTGTGAGTTAATTAGATATAATGATCTATAATTACTAAGTAAAAATAAAATAATTTAATTAATAAAAAACTTAATTTTTAAATATATAAATTTTTTATTATTATATATTAAAATAAAGCAAAGCAATTTAAAATTTTAAAAAATTCAAATTAATTATTGCTTTGATTTTATATTAAATTTTATGGAGTATAATATAGTATTTGGATAAAAAAAAATATAAAATTCTATATATATTTATTTTTAAACTTTATAATTTTACTAAATATCTAGAAATAATATAATTAAAATATAATATATAATTAATCTAATTTAGATGAATTTAATTTTAACCAACTTTTTAAACACATAAGCTTATTTATAGTTTCACCTTTTAAATTATTTCTTTTAGGTGTAATTAAATCCGTAGCATTAGAAAAAATTCGTTCTATAGGTGCACTTGTTGCTAAAATTAAATATATTAATTATTAATTAAATATATTCTATATATTAATTAAAATATTTTATATAATTACCTGGAATAGCTAAATAATCTTGAGCCATTCTTGTTAAATTTAGATATGTTACTTGTGACTATAAATAAATATTAATATTAATTTAATATATTTATGATTATTATAATATAATATAATATAATATAATATAATATAATATAATATAATATAATATATTTATAAATTAATTATTAAATTAATTATACCTTCCACCATAAAAGAATATCTATATTTTTCTTTTCAATAGAAGCAGAAAGATAGTCTTCTAGTTCATCAGTATAATCAACTTTTCTTTGTTTAAAAACATGTTGAAATATATCATCATATTTATTATTACTATCATTTCTTTTTTGCTGAAGCATATTTGGATATTTTTCTTTATACTCTTGATTCCAAATTTTAAAAATAAGATTTTTTGCTTCAGTAATATATGTAGAATTAAAATTATTATTTTTAAAATATTTTAATTTTAATCTAGGATCTAATACTAATAAATTAATAAATATTAATATAAAAAATTATTTAATAAATATTAATAATTAAATTAAACTTACTTATAGAAATTTTATATAAATCTTTATCTGTAAATGAATAATATTTAAGAATTTTATTTTTTGCAGCATTTGTAGCATTTTTAATAATTTGTTCTGTATTATCTTCAATTGTATCATTCAATTTATCTAATAAATAATGATAAATTGGTATACTTAATATTATTGTAGGATATAATTAACCTTCAGCATAATCAGTTGCTTCTTTAAAATACTAAAAAATAATTTTATATTTATTATATAATCTTATAAATAGTTATTATTTAAAATAATTTATTAATTATTAATTATTAAATTACAAACATGTAATATTTTATAAATTTTTTCAAGATAATCCCATTCATTATTTGATAAATAATAAATTTCAAAATCCTTATTAATTAAAATTATATTTTGTATAGCCTAAATAATAACAATTAATTATTTTGTATTAATTAATTTTA